TTTCAACAAATATAGGTTTTTATTTTAGGTCCTTCCAGAATTTCTTTTGTTTTTTCATTCCCGTGTTTTATACCGTCTATGTGCTTTAGTATAGGAGTAAGGCTGTGTACATCTGACCCCCTTACCCTACTGTAGGTGGGAGCCTTTGTGGCGGCCGGTGGGGGGGGGGGGTAATGTGATTGTTGCCGTATTCTCGCAATTTATAGTATTTTCATTTTAGTACCTAGCAACCTCACTTTTTACAATAAAACAGACATGGCTAACATGATTTATGTCTTGTTTTTTCAAGTCATTTCAATTTTAAAAATACCAGATTTTATTTATGAATGGCCTATATTAGAAAGATGAATGGTTACTTTCACTTAGCCTTAATTCTACTAAAAGCCTTAAAAGTTAAAAAGTTAGACTTGAAAAGTTCAGAGATGAGTTATGCGAGTTGGGTCATTCCCCCCTCCCCCAAGTTGAGATCATTCAAGAGTTGCACATGAATGGACTAAACAAAAAATGACATATTTGCAGGGTTGAAAAACAAAAGAAAATTGCTAGGAATTAAACCAAAAGGTATTATATTTGCAGGGTGAGGGTCTAATGACTAAGATATCTAAGCCTGTAAACAAATGACACAATATCTCAAATGAATGATTTTCTTGTCTGAACATTTCAACTATTTATAATCTTACTTTTTCTTGCCATTTTTTGTTTGCAGGATAGTTTCTTTGCTAGCTTTGGTCTTGGTTGGCTCATTACAAACGGCGCTGGGCTTGCGTCTTACCCAATAGACACAGTTCGCAGAAGAATGATGATGACATCTGGAGAGGCAGTCAAGTATAAGAGTTCTCTTGATGCATTCTCTCAGATCCTAAAGAACGAGGGAGCCAAATCCCTGTTCAAGGGTGCCGGTGCTAACATTCTGCGTGCTGTTGCTGGTGCTGGTGTATTGGCCGGGTATGACAAGCTTCAGCTCATTGTGTTCGGAAAGAAGTATGGTTCCGGTGGGGCATAATAAGCTCCTACACATTGTTCTTACAATGTCCACTAGATGGTGATGATAAAAGTGAGTTTTACAATTCATTCAGGCTATACAATTTTAATTTATGTTTGTGTAATAATTTGAATTTTGGATGTGCTTGTGAGTTGCGAACCCAAACATCTGCACGCATCACCTCCTTTCTGTGTGAGGGTGATTTATTTTTGATGACTCAAGAAAACTTAAAAACTACATTTTTGTCGACTACGGTCTTAATTTGATTTCCAAATTTGTGAGGATTAATGTTTGGTTTGTGGTGATTTTCTTTCAACTCTTTCGGCATGAAACTTGCAAGGTGTATCTGTTGCTACTCCATTTGTCTCATTGGTCTGTCAATTACGGAGTATATTTTTTAAATTTTGTTGCATTGTTTTTAAAATAATGAATTTGTGGTTCACTTATTTTTCTTTCTTTTGCATATAAATGAACTCCACAATTTATCACCGACTCAGACTCTCAAAGTTGACAATGCCGAATTACTCTAACGAAACGGATTTAATATTATACCTGATTTTTACCAAAATAGCCATTAATATGGACGATTTCTGTCGATGTTTTATTTGTCATCAATCCTTGCACCTTCAAATTATGTAAAGAGTTTGCCGGCTTGCCAAGTTAGTGAAATTCCAAGGCCATATCAACTTAAAGATCAGGAGACGGTTTAAAAAGAAAGACTTTTTGTGACACCGCACCCGTGTGTACCTGAATGTACTATCTGAAAGTTTCATAATTGATGTTTTGAACTTGTTATTACCATTCGTGTGTAACACGTGTGTTATCTTATGTAACTCATGCTTTGACATTGTGTGAAACGAGTAGTGTTTGATGTAACTTGTGTTTGTTAACCTGTCGTTGGGATCCGTGTTTCGAGAGTGAGTTTCCAAATACTGATGTGGGCCATCTTGGTTAGTATAAGAGCCCGATATTATATGGAGAGAAATCACATTACGAAGACACAAATAATAAGACTCAATTTTCCTCCGTAAGGAATTATCGGTAAGGATTTTCCTTCCCGGCTGACTTGGACCGAAGGGGGTGCGTCCCACACCTCCTTGGCACTTACGAGACAAAGAGAATATGGTATGTTGACTTTTGGGGCAGACCATGATGGAGTGGGCTTGTGCAGAGAATAAAATGATAAGGGTTGGACACCATTTGTACTTATTTAGTAAGACTTGGTGGAGAATCATCCACACCTCACTCAACCCACTCCACACAAAAGGAATAACCTTTTGGGAGGCCTAAGGGACAGCCTTAGGCTTCTAAGAGAAGAGAACCGATCAGAACAAAGAAAGAGAGAAAAGGGAGAGCTGTTCGGAGTTTCTTGCTACTGTACGTGGGTTTGATTGTTCAGCCCATATCTTGAGCTTCACTCGTTCAAATCAGGCGTGTGAGGCGTCCACAGAAAGATCTCAAAACGAGGATTCTGAACTGGTGTAGATCGCAACGATCGGAGTTGTGGAAGGCTTCCAAATCTGCGTTGGAAAGTACGAACCTGCAGCAGGGCTTCTTCTTCTCTAGAGGTGAGTTGAACCCAAAACCTTCCTCTTCTTTACATAGATCGTATGTAAGGTTTAGGAGGCTATTCTACCTTGTTCTTACGGTAGAATGTATTCTTTAAATGTTAGTCATGTGAGTTTAAAGGTTAGGCACTAACCTTAAATGAACCTTGAATGGTTAGGAAGTGAACTCGCCGGGGAACACCTCTTCGAGAGGGCTGTTTAGTTTCGTGGCAGGAGGGTGGAGCCAACTGCTAGGAGCAGGCTACTGCTCACCCATCCTTAAGCAAGGAGTCAGCTGCCAACCTTTTCTTGGCCGAGGCGTGATCGTTGGAGCGAGAAAGGAAGGCTAAAGCTCATTAAGGTGAGGACGACATCTAGTTGCTTACAACTTGTAGGTTATGCATGAGATTACCTAAATGCTTAAATCATGTTTTCATAAATAAAGATGCTTGAACATGTTATGCATGATAAGTAATGGACTTGATCATGAATTGAAACTATATTGATGAATATGGAGTAAATGAGGTATAAATGTGCTATTATGTAAAAATAGACATTTCTACTTATGTAAGCATGATATGCCTATGTAAACGAATACTTGAATGATGAAATTGAACACATGGGGAGGCTGCCACATATTATTAATATGTAGGGGCTCCCATATGTGAATAAATGTTTTTGTAAGAATAATCTTAATAGTAATGAAATACTAATTAAGGATTGTTCGAATTGTTGATAGAATCAAACCTAGGGTTTGCATAGTATTGTGATGCACTTGATGGACTTCAAGTGTCATTTGTGTCTTAGTGTGAACTAAGGTTAAGTTGGGGCGGTCCATAAGATGTCCCAAGATATTGTTATGTATGACAATTCTAGGCATAGTGAGTGCTTATGAATTGGGGTCTATGCCAATGTAAGGAGATGCACTTGAGCCCGAACTCTAGAATTGCATTGGGTAGACATAAGGTTTAGGTTCAGCCCATGTAAGGAGATGCACTTGAGCCCGAGCTCTAGAATTGCATGGGTGGACATGATGTCGGAGATTGATGATGTGATATAAGGTTTGGAACCTAGGGTCAAATCTATGCCAATGTAAGGAGATGCACTTGAGCCCGAGCTCTAGAATTGCATTGGGAGATATAAAGTGGATGCATTAGGGTGGGACCCTATGTATTGTCGTGACTAGTGGTCACGGGGTTTGGGTTATGTTTTGTGATAAACATGGGCCTACGGGCCTACTACTTGACTTTATATAAAGTAAGTATATATTTTGAAAAGGGGTAACTTGGGGTTACGGCCTAGACTATATTATCACCCTATTTGAGGGTGAAATACGTGTTGTATATCTATTAGATGCCTGCCACACCAGTACTTTATAGCCGTATAAAGTACTGACCCCTTCGGGGGCGTCCACCATTATTTCAGGTTGAGGCTTGAGCCTGCTACCTGTGCCCGTTGCTCGGGTGATCATTTGGAGAGAAGACGTGGTTTGTGCTTTCTCCATTCTGTTTTGAATAATATTAAACATGCTCATGGATATTTTACTATAGAGCCTGCGTGCTCATGAATAGCCCTGTGTGGCCCTTTTGTTTTAAACAATGTTTTCCGCTGCGTTATGAATTACTTATTATGTTATTTTTTTAACCCGGAAGGCAAACACCAAAATCAGTGGGGCAAATGCCGGGAGTCAGATGCCGTTATTTTATTAATAAGAAAATCATACAAAAGAGAGGGGGACTAGACCAGAACCTCTCAACAGAGTCATTTCTCTGAAAAATACAGTACACAAAAAATGAAATCAGAAAAAATAAGATTAGGGGGGACCAAACCTAACCCAAACCCAATACAGCAAAAAGATTTTAACATATTCGAAGGGAAGGAACACCGAAGAGATCCATATAGTAAGCCCGCTTAACTAATGGCGGTAGAGAACCCGGGTTAAGAAAAATCTTATCTGGGCCAGAATGGGACTGTGCTAGAAAATGCGCAGCCCAATTTGCTTGTCTCGCAGTATGTCCAAACGTGATACCCACCTGATTTGCAATAACCAAACTTTCCTGAATTGAAGACCTCCATCGCCGCTCACACTTGCCTGCCAGATACTCCATAGCCGTAGCTGAGTCCGACTCTAGCTTGAAGGGACCAAGACCATCTCGCACCGCACTTTTAAGAGCATAGATAATCGCTTGTACCTCGGCCTCAAGTGGGGATGAAGCTTCCAAATCGAAGCTAACAGCCCAGATTAGCTCGCCGTGTTGATTGCGAAGAATCGCTCCCCCTGCAGCAATACCAGATAAGTAACGAGCATCAGTGTTTAACTTCATACCTTCCTTAGGCTTGTTCCACTTAATCGCCTGAATATTGAATCTCTGTTTGTGAAAATCTCTTCTAATTAAATGCTCTTCGTATAAAATGTTATCAATGGATTGAAACTTCCTCTCCTTGAGCGACTGGGTCCATTCCTGCGTGTAATGCTTAATTGAGATAATAGTCTGCTCAATCGATGGAATGTTGTTGCCTTTCCCCCAAATGTGATTTGAGTAAATTTTCCAAATGTGCCAGCTAATTATGCCTGAGATATTATGTCTAAAAACATCAATCAAGTCCTTTGAGCCTGCCTTTAGCCAGCAATTTCTGAAAACCTGGGAAATAGAAATGGCACATGCAGGTATGGGGATACCCAGCAGTCCCAAAAAATAACCCCAAATAGGTTTAATTTCTTTACAAAGAAATAAAACATGATCCAGTGAATCACTGTTATTCCTACACATAGGGCATATAGTAGGATTAATCACCGTATTAAATCTGTTCAGCTTATCAGGGAAGGGAAGAATTCCTTTTAGGATTCTCCACTGCAATAGTTTGATTTTGAGTTCCTGTCTAGGATTCCAGATGTGTTTGAAAGACAAAGTTGGTAGAGCATGGTTTCTAACTTCATTGTAGGCTGATTTTAGAGAAAACTGACCATATATTTCCTCATTCCAGATCAGAGTACCAGAAGGCAATTCAAAGCACAGGGTGGATGCATATTCATGGATGTAGCAAATTCTTCTCCATACTGGTGAATCAGTCACTTTAGGTATCATATCTCCTTCTCTTGCATACCTATTTCTTATGAAATATGTCCAAATGGAGTCCCCTGTTTTCCATTTCTACCAGAGTTTTAGAGAAAATGCTTTTTCAATATCTGTCAATGACCTTATGCCCAGACCCCCTTCATCTATTGGAAGGCATAAGTTATCCCATTTAATCCAGTGATGCTTAGGCTTATCCCTTGAAGATCCCCAGAAAAAAGATGCCATCTTACTGTTTAGCACCTTGATGACTTTTTTTGGCAATGTATCAACTGCTAAGACGTGTAGTGGAATGGAATTGAGAACATGTCTGATTAAGATGAGTCTTCCCCCCTAAGATAGATTTTTTTGCTTCCAAGTTGTGAGCTTCTTCTCAAATTGCTGAATGATTTGACTACAAAAATTGAACCTGTTGATTCCTTTATGCAGATTAACACCCAAGTATCTTACCGGAAGAGTAGCTTTTTGCATGCCCAGGAGCTCTTCCATGCGATTACTACGATAAAGGGAAGTTTTTCCACAAAGAAATGAACTCTTTTCAAAATTGATTGTCTGCCCTGAAGAGTTCTGATAATCCTTTAGGAAGTTTTTGAAATTGAGAATTGATCTTGCCTCTCCATTAAGAAAAATTAGCAAACCGTCTGCAAAACCCAAGTGAGAGATAAGGTAACCATATGCCCCCATCCAGAAAGGCTTGACTCTACCTTGAGATATTAGAGAATTAAATCCCTTAGAAAATGCCTCAGCTGCAATTATAAAAAGGAAGGGAGACAGAGGATCCCCTTGTTTGACCCCCCTGCTTGGCTTAAAAAAACCATAGGGTGTACCATTAACCAAGACAGAGAGATGAGTAGCCTGCAGATTATTCATTATTAGTTTGACAAAGTTCTCTGAAAAGCCAAATTTCAGCATGATTTCAGCAAGGAATTTCCAAGAAACTTTGTCAAAAGCTTTGGCCATGTCTAGTTTAATCACCAGATTAGAACCTCTGATTTTTTTTATCAATGCTGTGTATCATTTCCTGGGCAATTAGCACTTGATCTGCAATGTCTCTTTGCTTCATGAAACCAACATGTTCTTTTGAGATTATCTTAGGCAAAATATTATTCAAACGAGAAGCAATAATCTTGGTGCATATCTTACTCAAAAAACTGGAGAGACAAATGGGTCTAAAGTCTGCAAAAGTAGCTGGGTTGTCCTTTTTGGGAATAAGAACAATTAAGGCACTAGACATCCCTGGGGGAATGGGATGTCCCAAGAAAAATTCTTGCACTGCCCTTAACACATCAAGCCTCACTATAGACCAACATTTCCTAAAAAACTTTCCATTATACCCATCTGGCCTAGCTGCACTATTTTGATTTAAATCCCAGACCGCACTCTTAACCTCCTCCAAATTGGGTAGAGTAGTAAGTATAACATTATCCTCCTGAGATATAATGCTAGGGATACAATCCAGAATATTGTTGGAATCATTATCTTCTTGTGCAGAATATAGAGAGGAGAAGAAGTTCACCGCGGTAGTCCCAATGTCTGCAGAATTTGAGAAAGTATGACCCTCATAGTCTCCAATAGAGGTAATGATTTGCTTCCTGTTTCTGACCTTAACAAAGGAGTGGTAAAAATGAGTATTAGAATCCCCTTCTTTAATCCACTTAATACGGGCCTTTTGCTTCCAATATTTTTTCTCCAAATTATATTTTTGAATCAAAAGACTTCTTTTTAAAGACCAGGCTTCTCTATTTTCCTCACTTGGGATTTCTTCAAATGCCTTTTCTGCCATAAAAACTTCCTGCTCACAGATCTTAATGTCCTCGAAGATGTTTCCAAAAACATTCTTATTCCATGACTTAAGATCATTTTTAAGAAGTTGCAGTTTAGTTACCATACCTCTCATACCCCCACCTGTAGCATATGAATTCCATTTTCTTTCCACAAATGACATGAAACTCGGGTGGGAGGTCCACATATTTTGAAAGCGAAAGGGCTTAGGACCAGATAAGTTGTTATTTTTGAACTGAATCAAAATAGGGCTATGATCTGATGGAGTTCTGTTTAAAATAGAGACATTTATGAAGTCAAACATGTCCAGAAAAACAGTATTGAATAGGCATCTGTCTATCTTTCTCCAAACTCTTCCTCTTGCTCTTATCCCAGTCCAGGTAAAGTGAGGACCAGTATGTGGAAGCTCAACAAGATCAGTTGCAGCAATACAATCGGAGAATTCATGCATTCCAGTCCAAGTAGGTTGACTTTGACCCTTGTGATCACTGAAAGAGGCAATTTCATTGAAATCTCCACCAACTAGCCAAGGCTCCACCATGTTATTAGAGAGATTTTTAATCCCCTCCCAGAGTTCCCTTCTTAAAATATATGTATGTCTCCCATAAACCGCTGTAATCCATCCCTTGAAAATGCTACTTTGAATTTTGAAGTGAACGAACTGAGAATGCCAGACCACCTGGGAAATATCCAAAACTGAATTATCCCAAAAATTCCAAATTTTGTTGATAGGAGAATAGAGAACCTCATTTAAACCCAGCATTGATTTAAAGGAAGTAGCTCTAGATTCCTGAACAATAGGCTCAAATAAGCTCAATAATCACAACTAAGCTTAACCTCCATTGTTTAACTAGGGAATTAAGTCTGGAACTGGAGGAATCCAGACCCCTAGTATTCCATATCAACCAATTCATTTTGGAAGTAAGGAGGTTAAGTCCTTCACAGAATTTCTAGTAATTCTCTTTTGTAAAGCCTCCTGTTTGTGTTGTTTTTTCCTTTCCCTCATTGATTGATCATTCTGTATTACTCCATCCTGAAAGTCTCCATCATGGATGTTATATGTGTGAATGATATTCAAGACACTTTGTATAATATGAATGTGTTGGACTGCGGTTGACTATTTGTATTGTACGACGGGTTGTTGACGTGTCCGGGGAGGTCTGGGGCGTGACACTTTTGATCCGTTGATAAGTCCATTTTTGTACTTATTTTTCTTATCAAATTTAAGCGATTTTTGAATGAAAATAGAAAGAAAAGACACATTTTATATATTTTGGTTCAAGTTTCATGAAATCAGGTAAAAATCACATCCATAATATGTTTAGCGGGATTTCGGGTCAATTGAGCACAAAATGAGTCAATTTGAGTGACAAATGCATTTATACCGGAAGAAACAAGCACTTTATCAAGGTGATTCAGAAGACAAAGTTGAAGAGCAAGAAAAGCCGCATCTGCCAGACAAAAGTGGCCGAAGGCGCCCAAATAGGCGCCCAAAATGGAGGCCTTCGCGGCCGCCTACGGGAAAATTCAGAAGTCAACCTCGCTTTGACAACGGCGCCATTTGATAACCGCTTTCGCGGCGTTGTAGTAAAACGGAGTCTAACCTTTCGGTTTTTCCCCGAGTATCGTGTCTCTCGAGGAATGGCGGAGGAGCTTCTTGATTTTAAGTCCAGTCACAGGTTATCGCAAATTATTGGAAGCTTTCCAAATTAAAACTTTTGATTGATTTTCTAAACTACTTTTTGGAAAAGAAAGTAAATTAAATTGTGCAAATACTAATGATGGCTCAAAAATAAACTAAAGGAAAAAAAATATAATATTAAACTTAAATGGATTGATGCAAATAAGGGCAATGAATCGAGTAATTAGAAATGGATATATTCTTGGACCTAGTAATTAGGGAAATTAAAACTAAAATTGGACTAATAATTTCTTTCCTCATAGACAAGAATAGAAACTATTTTCATTAATTTATCCTATTTCTAGGTGTCATTAATGTGTTCAAAATGGTTGGCTTGAATTAAATTCTAACCTCATAGACAAGGTAGAAATAATTCTCCAATATTTTAATTAATAAAAATAGCCAAATTCATTAACTAGTTAAACTCATTATTTAAGCAATTGAATTTATCTCTCATAGACAAGATGTAAATCCATTTCATTAAATTATATAGTTGTTTACTAGCCTCAAGGTAGTTATTTATCATAACAAAGTTAATTTTTACGAAGTAGAAGTAAATTTTAATAAATTCCGGCATTTAGTTGTTATTATTGCATAAATTAAATTAAATACTCAAAAAAGGCAAAAAATTAGTTTTTGTCCTAATTCCAGTTTAATTCACAGTAATATCACTCCTAGTAGTCAATATAAAATTTAGAACGAATTTAGAATAATTGTAGTTGTTTTTTTTGTATTTTCTAGTTAATATTGAGAAAATTATCAATTAGTTGTTAAAATTGGATTTTAGGTTCAAAAATTCGTGAAAAATTCTAGAAAGTTATATTTTAGTTTCTACAAGTTTATTGTTCCATAATATAATTTTTGCTATCATCCATGTTTAATTCCTTGTTAATGTTGAATATATTCATTATATTGTTAATTGTTAAAATGATCTTTATTAGCTAAATTTCTTTTGGGCATGAATTGACTAAAGGAATATGGATTGACTTGTTGACCAAAAAATTAGGGATTAAAATTAATAATTTGGACTAGTTGTTTGAAATGATGAAATAGTAATTAATAATTGTTAGCCATATTCATTAATTAAATTCTTGGAAAATTATCTCTAACTTGTCAATGAGATTAGAAAATAATTTAAGCCAACCATATTCGAGCACATTAATAAGGCCTAGAAATAGGATAATTTAATGAAATGGATTTACATCTTGTCTATGAGAGATAAATTCAATTGCTTAAATAATGAGTTTAACTAGTTAATGAATTTGGCTATTTTTATTAATTAAAATATTGGAGAATTATTTCTACCTTGTCTATGAGGTTAGAATTTAATTCAAGCCAACCATTTTGAACACATTAATGACACCTAGAAATAGGATAAATTAATGAAAATAGTTTCTATTCTTGTCTATGAGGAAAGAAATTATTAGTCCAATTTTAGTTTTAATTTCCCTAATTACTAGGTCCAAGAATATATCCATTTCTAATTACTCGATTCATTGCCCTTATTTGCATCAATCCATTTAAGTTTAATATTATATTTTTTTTCCTTTAGTTTATTTTTGAGCCATCATTAGTATTTGCACAATTTAATTTACTTTCTTTTCCAAAAAGTAGTTTAGAAAATCAATCAAAAGTTTTAATTTGGAAAGCTTCCAATAATTTGCGATAACCTGTGACTGGACTTAAAATCAAGAAGCTCCTCCGCCATTCCTCGAGAGACACGATACTCGGGGAAAAACCGAAAGGTTAGACTCCGTTTTACTACAACGCCGCGAAAGCGGTTATCAAATGGCGCCGTTGCCGGGGAATGGCACGGTGATTTCTTGATTTTGATTTTAGCATGGGCGAATTCAAGTTAGGGAGACTTTCTTTTTCTTTTTTTGTTTTGTTCTCACGTGTTTGCTTGAGATTTCCTCATGGATTACTCAAGTGAACACTTTAATTCTCAACCACCATATCACTATCCATACTATGAACAACAATCTTTTCAAAATAATCAAAATGAAGGATACTATGGACAAGGTTATGAGGATAACAATCAATGGTGCGAAAATCCACCTTTGGGGTATGGAGATTACCAATTTCAAGATAACTATTTTCACCAAGGGCAAAACTTTGAAGGCTATGATGATGTTTCCTATCAAGTTAATTATCATGATGATTTTAATTATCATGAAAATTACCATGAAAGGATGGAAAATCATTGCACCAGCACAAACGAGTACTCCTTCGAAAATGACTCTGGAATTTCAGCTTATCCTCAACACGAGCTCGAAGAATTAAAATCGTCCTTACTTGATTTTGTGGAAGACTTAAGAAAGACAAGGATTGAACTAGCATCTCAGGATGAGAGTATCAAGGAATTGTTTGAAAAAATCATTTATGACAACGACCACAAGGTTCAACAGGAGACATACGAGGAGGGTGCTAAATCTAAGGAGGAGGTTGCGGTAACCATGGGCGAGATGGTTGAAACTCTTCTCACCCCTATTTCTTTCGAGCCTCTCATTGCTACTGAGAGAGAGCCTATCCTCGTAGAACTTAGTTCTCAAGAGCCCCATATGAAAGTGCCCAATGAGGTTGATGAAGAAATCATAGATGATGAGATACTTTGTGATGAGGAACCTACCCTACCATCTATGGATGACCTCTCATTTAAAAAGTCCCTGAAGGATAGCCTTGATGATGATTTTGATCCTACACAAACCCAAGCGCCTGTTGAAATAGTTGATGAAACTTGTGATGTGGAGGAAACAATGCCCGATGATGCCTTCTTTGATTCTCTACTTAATGATGATGAGCATAATTGTGCTAGGCAAGGACTTGTTTGCCTAGATGATATTTGTGGGAGTAGTGAGCGAAGTTGGGATGGATTTTTAGAGAGTGACACGGAGTTTGAATTTTGTGTTGTAAATGTCGAGGCCATAGTTGAAGAAGAAGAAACCCAAAAGGAGGAGCCTACTCATAATGTTCTTACCATGGTGGTCCCACTTGAGCGATTTCAGGCACCTGAGGCCCCTGATCCTGAAATACTTGTTGATTATACTAATGAGAGTGATGCAGGATATGTGCTAATTTCTTGTTCGAACGATGTGTTCTTTGAAGATTATATCACATTTTGGTGGCCACGAGAGTTTGAGGGTCTACGCCATCTGACGGCATACCTGGAGGATAAGGTGGAAGCACTAATGATGAGTGCCCCACAATTGACATGCATAGCTGAGAGTTCTCTCTCAAACGTCAAGCTAGTGACGTTAAAGAAGCGCTTCTTGGGAGGCAACCCATGTTTTTCATAACATTGTTTGTTTGTTTTGTGTGTTTGCAGGGTGTGCTTCAATGTTGATGAAATAAGAGTTTGGCTTAGGCCTTACGGGAGGACACGAGTGATGCTTAGTTTTCTTCCTTAACATTTTATTGTGTTTGTTTGTTTATTCAGGTTGGACATTGTGCCGCTCTTTTGACTTAATTGCTCTTACAAACTGACTATGAATGATGTAATGATTTTTATTCCTGTTTCATTATTCCTCTTCACAAAATCTTTTCAAAACTCAAGTGTGAGGAAAGAACCAAAAAAAAAAAATGTGCCTTTATTTCCCAATTTTGTGCCTCAAAAGAAGACCTCGAGGGCGAGGTCCAGCTCAAGTGTGAGGAGGTTGCGTTTTACACTCAAAAGTCAAAACCTTGTTTTAGAACAATCTTTTTACTATTTTTGATATGAAACATTAATTTCTCAATTTGTTATCAAATCATAAAATACTTTAGATAATCACCCTTATTATAAGAATTTACTTTTATTATTATTTTTGAAAACTTAAAATTGTTATGGGTTTTTGGTTGCGAATGTAAAGGTCCGAATTTGTTTTAATTGGACATTCATTTTATTCATTAAAAAAAAACATGTTACTACTAATAAACCTCTTCAAAACTCATTGTTATAGGACAATTCCATCTCCGAAAAGGGGCTCTGTTTCATTCGTTAATCACAGTCTGTGAGAATGAAATATGCATTTACCATGGGATAACACCGCCAACAAGAGTGAAAAAGAGCAAAAAAAAAAAATGGTGAACAAGATGAATGTCCAAATTAAAATAATGAAAACCTTGGGATAAGGAATTGATTGGTGGTTTAACATAATAAATAGTTTTTCTTAAGTAATACTAATTTTAAACTCTTGTATTTTGGGTGATTTTTCTAAAATGTTTAAAAATTGAGAATAAAAGATGAGGTTTTTGTTTCTACTTCTTTAAAATAGCAATTAGATTGTAATACAGTTAGGCTTACCTTTTGAGTGTGTTTACAACTGATTCGTCGCTTGAGGACAAGCAACGCTTAAGTGTGAGGAGATTGATAAGTCCATTTTTGTACTTATTTTTCTTATCAAATTTAAGCGATTTTTGAATGAAAATAGAAAGAAAAGACACATTTTATATATTTTGGTTCAAGTTTCATGAAATCAGGTAAAAATCACATCCATAATATGTTTAGCGGGATTTCGGGTTAATTGAGCACAAAATGAGTCAATTTGAGTGACAAATGCATTTATACCGGAAGAAACAAGCATTTTATCAAGGTGATTCAGAAGACAAAGTTGAAGAGCAAGAAAAGCCGCATTTGCCAGACAAAAGTGGCCGAAGGCGCCCAAAATGGAGGCCTTCGCGGCCGCCTACGGGAAAATTCAGAAGTCAACCTCGCTTTGACTCGGGACCAGGAAAAGACCGAAGGCTGCCGACACTGGACAGAAGGCGGCCGCCTACGGTGGCCGCCTGCGGCACAAGGGGACGAAACCAACCACCGATCGGCCAGACAAGACGGCAGGCGGCCAGACAGGACGGCAGGCGGCCGCCTGCTGGACCGCCTGCGGCGGCCGGGGTCCGCCGGGATCCGTCGGGATCCGATCTGCCAACGAAAAGATGGCAGGCGGCCATTTTTTACAGAAGGCGGCCGCCCTCTGTGGCCGCCTACGGCTGACGGGACCGCCACCGACGGTCTGCCGGCGACAGGACGACAGGCGGCCAGAGGCTGCCGGAAGGCGGCCGCCTGCCCGGGCGCCTACGGGAATTTTTCGGCTATAAAATCCAGGCTTTTTCCTCAACTCAAATACACCAATTTCAAACCCAAATCAGATCAAAAAGGGCGTCTTCTTCCTCCTCAAAGCTCGGATTTCCACCATTGTTGCACCTTCAACTTCAATCTTTCATATCTTTCTCATTTTAGCTCCAAATTGTGAGTTCTTTATATGTATTTTCATCTTTTCAATGAGTAGAATCTGAATCTGTACTTAGTTTTTTCTATCTATGCTTCGAAAATTTCCAGAAAATTATTCCACTATTTCGCATTTTCTTCTTAAATTTGAATAAAATAGTTGTTGACATTAAATCCATTCCAATTAATTATATAGTTGTTTACTAGCCTCAAGGTAGTTATTTATCATAACAAAGTTAATTTTTACGAAGTAGAAGTAAATTTTAATAAATTCCGGCATTTAGTTGTTATTATTGCATAAATTAAATTAAATACTCAAAAAAGGCAAAAAACTAGTTTTTGTCCTAATTCCAGTTTAATTCACAGTAATATCACTCCTAGTAGTCAATATAAAATTTAGAACGAATTTAGAATAATTGTAGTTGTTTTTTTTGTATTTTCTAGTTAATATTGAGAAAATTATCAATTAGTTGTTAAAATTGGATTTTAGGTTCAAAAATTCGTAAAAAATTCTAGAAAGTTATATTTTAGTTTCTACAAGTTTATTGTTCCATAATATAATTTTTGCTATCATCCATGTTTAATTCCTTGTTAATGTTGAATATATTCATTATATTGTTAATTGTTAAAATGATCTTTATTAGCTAAATTTCTTTTGGGCATGAATTGACTAAAGGAATATGGATTGACTTGTTGACCAAAAAATTAGGGATTAAAATTAATAATTTGGACTAGTTGTTTGAAATGATGAAATAGTAATTAATAATTGTTAGCCATATTCATTAATTAAATTCTTGGAAAATTATCTCTAACTTGTCAATGAGATTAGAAAATAATTTAAGCCAACCATATTCGAGCACATTAATAAGGCCTAGAAATAGGATAATTTAATGAAATGGATTTACATCTTGTCTATGAGAGATAAATTCAATTGCTTAAATAATGAGTTTAACTAGTTAATGAATTTGGCTATTTTTATTAATTAAAATATTGGAGAATTATTTCTACCTTGTCTATGAGGTTAGAATTTAATTCAAGCCAACCATTTTGAACACATTAATGACACCTAGAAATAGGATAAATTAATGAAAATAGTTTCTATTCTTGTCTATGAGGAAAGAAATTATTAGTCCAATTTTAGTTTTAATTTCCCTAATTACTAGGTCCAAGAATATATCCATTTCTAATTACTCGATTCATTGCCCTTATTTGCATCAATCCATTTAAGTTTAATATTATATTTTTTTTCCTTTAGTTTATTTTTGAGCCATAATTAGTATTTGCACAATTTAATTTACTTTCTTTTCCAAAAAGTAGTTTAGAAAATCAATCAAAAGTTTTAATTTGGAAAGCTTCCAATAATTTGCGATAACCTGTGACTGGACTTAAAATCAAGAAGCTCCTCCGCCATTCCTCGAGAGACACGATACTCGGGGAAAAACCGAAAGGTTAGACTCCGTTTTACTACAACGCCGCGAAAGCGGTTATCATCCGTAAATCAACCAAATTGAACAGAATATCTTTCAAGATTATATTATTCGTATAATGATGAAAGAATGACAAAAATGAGACTTCCACCTAATGAAAAGACAAAAACAAGACCGTTTGAACAAAAAAGTGATAGAAAATGGTTTGAATTGACTTTAATGTACGGGGCGCTAAGTGGCGACTGGCGAAGATGGCAGAGATTTCGATTGAATATTATTTATTACAAAATTGTATTTCATGTATTAAAGTTTTCTCAATTCTCAATTGTACTTCATATTTCAAATAAATATACTTTAACTTTTTTATATCTAGCAATTCTTCAATTAATTGGTAAACAACAACAACAAAAAAGCCCATAACCGAACTAACCTGACCTGGTAACCGGCTGGGTAGCTCGGCCCGACCCGGACCCGCTAGCTACCCGGGCCGGTTCCGGGCCTACATTAAAAAAAAAAAACCGCTCGGGCCCGTCCTGGTACCCGGTCCATCCCTAGCTAAGTGCCTAACTATCCTTCTGACTTATATGCTGCGTCAACTCTCAGCTTCCAACTTTCGTACTTCTCTCTGCAATCGGCGATAGACTCATCGAGTAGACACATCAAACTGTGGCCGACTCGGCTGCCCTAGCCTTAGGGATGGACTGGGCTCGGTTCTGGTTCCGGGTCGGGCTCAGGCGGGCTTGGTTTTTCTAGGGTGAAGCCCGGCACCGGCCCAGTCCGGGTGAGACCGGTTCTTTTAATTTTTTTTTTAGCTTTTGTTATTGTTCCAACCCCCACCCCCACTCCCCAAACCCCGCCAAAACACCCAGCCCACCTACCATAGGCCCAAACCCAAAAAAACAAAATAAATAAATAAATAAATAGGCCCAGACTGGCTGGGCCGGTCTCTATTTTCCCAGTCGCGGAACCGCCCACAAAAACCCCCGGGCCGGTCGTAGGCCCGGAACTGGTTCACCGGGCCGGTCCAGTCCCGCACAGTGGCGCTCCGCTCCGATCAGACCGGAACCAGGCCACCTTTACCTAGCCTTCGTCGTCGCCCTCGCCTCCCGCTGGTAATAGAGCATAACCAAATCTTTGCCACCGACTCCACCCTGCCCAACTTTTTCTTCTTCTCTTTCTGTCATGTGTAACCTAGGCGAAGGCTAATCCAGATATGTGATGACGCGGTGGCGGCTTGGAGTGGCAAGGCAGTGGTGGTGCGTATATTGGGTGACATGGGCTAGGGGGTATCAGAAGAGATGAGACTGGGGCCGACGAGCTAGGTAGGGGACTTGGGCTGGGGTTGTGGACTATGGTGTGGGCAAAGGAGGGTCCTTGTGTGGGTTGAAGGTTGGGGCGTGGTGGTGCCGGAGGGATATTGGAGGGGGCTGGGTGAGGTTGGGTTGGGTGAAGTACGGGAGGGGCTGGAAGAGGTTGGGGTTGAGGTGACATAGAGGAGGGGGGCTGGGATGTGGTTTTGTGGTTGCTGGCGGTGGCCAGATGTGATGATCACCGAAGTTGGCCGGGAGTGGTGGTCGGTGCGGGTA